TGTGAAAAACAAATCTAGATTCAGCCGCATTTTTAAAACGCTTAAAACACCACACTTAAAATTAATTAACGCTAAAATAAACTATTTTTAGATGTGGCAACTAAGTCGACAACGCATAAGCTGACAATTAATAGACCGAAACTTTTTGAACCGGAACAATTACCGTTTGAAAAAAATGGGGCTGGACAGATTCGAACCGCTGACCTATGCCCTCCCAGAAGTATTGGTTACCACCAGGCTAAGTGTACGTGAAAAAAGTCTAGGACCCAATTGCAATACCCTTGCTATCGCAAGGGCAATCATAAGATGAAAAGTTCTATGTGCAAAAATAGTTCAAATTAATAGTTCAAATATTTTCGCCGAAGTTTTCATGAGTGTCTGCAAACAAGTCTCCAAGAAAACTAGAAACACTTTGGTTTATAAAGTTTCTTGTTCTTTTTCAGCACTAAAGATGCTTTTAGAGCATATAATTCAAAAATCGGGTCACTAGAAGACTTAAAAATATTCGATTGAGTCAGCGAAACTTCATTTAGTTCAAGAGTAATGTGGAGAAAAACAAGCTATTATTTTGAATTTCTTCGCAACACCAAATATAAACTAAACCCTAACACCAGAATTACACTATTATAATAAACTCCGTGAAAGATTCAATATCGAATCCCTGCCCCCGTCAACATGACCTCACGCCAAAAAACGCTTCGGAAAAACACATCAAGCTCCACGTGTTTTAAAACTCTGGGAAAAATTAATCACCTTGTTTCCATTACCATGCATTGGTAAATAAGGCATGGTCACAGGGGCGGATCTAGGATTTTCTCGCCTTAAGAATAATTTTAGGGTCGGTCGGTCAAAAATGGATTTCTGAAAAAGTATCAAAGGGGGGACTGGAGTTTGTGATAAAAATCCTGCCAAATTTGTTCACGCACGGAAACATTTTTCAGTATTTTGAAACAAAAAAGCATGATTGTCAGATAATACACATGAAAAACATTCACAGCGTTGGTTAATGCATTTATAAGACGAAATTACTTTTCTTTTTCCCTTTTAGTCACCAAAAAAAGTACTTTTTCCGACAAAAAAAAATACTTTTTTTTCCGCTCCCTGCTATTGAAAATATCTATTTAAACCCGAATTCGATTCTGGATAAAATTAAACTGGACAGGGTAAAACTATACACTTTCATAAAATACACTGAAATTGATTACTTGTTACGAAGAGAGAGAAGAGTCTCGAATCATAAAAACCATCTTGTCAACTAATTCTCCATTTTTATCTTCAATTTTAGCCTCGACAAGGAAATGTAAACTGTTAATCAGCGGTGCAGTGAAGCTGACAGCGGCATCCTCTCCAAATGGTACCAAAAAAGAACGTGAATAATCAGATTTAACATTTGAACAATGCAATAAAGTTAAGCTTCTTGTTGAAAGCGACCATATTATGAGAACGTCGTATCTAATATGAGAAATACAGCTGATGTGTTTAACACAGTGGGTGCTGAATTTGATAATAGAGACATGACTAGGTGAGATATTACGATATCCAGTATTAATTTCGACTACATCATTGTTGTGATCCACAACATGGACAACAGTATGTGGATGACATGTGCTGACAACCCGGGGCAGAAATTCGCATCTGTGCTGTAAAGATGACTCATTCGATTGTCTGAGTTGCTTGTCATTTCTATCCCAAAATATGAATTGCGCGAGATTGTCTCTTAATCCCACAAGAAATAACGGAACATGATGTGGTTTCAGATTTAATTCGATATTTTGGAAACTGCTTTTTGCTATATCAAAAACATACGAACAAGCAGGCGTCACGATTATAATTTTTCTAGCAGGGAAATAATCTTCGTAAAAAAAAGCTTGTATTTCGTTTTTTCCTTCAAGAGTTTCCTTTGTCGCTAGCTTGATTTTCTTCATTTCAATGGTTCTTTCGTTCTTCATAGAGTCGAAAAACATTCTATTTACAGAAATCTTATTTTCCTGGATTCGTACACAGTAAATATTGTCAGTAAATTGCTTCCCAGGTCTTTCTGAATACACGTAGCACTCGTCAGTACATTTCACTTCGGCGATAACTTCTGGCATTTCAAGCGCTTCCAGATAATTGTCCATAACTAAACGTGCAGCCTGTTCTGAAACTTTGTAATCTACTCCCTTAATTTCAAACAACTCCAGCTCCGCTTCTTTCGATTTGACCCGCGATACCGATTTCTCTGTTTGCTTGAACTGTTCAACCATTATTCCATCCGAGCACGACAACAATTCTCGAAGACTCCCTTGGCATTTCAATAGTGTTTCGTAGTTTTCCTCTGCTTCTTGTTCTATTTTAACAATTTTTTCATGTTCGGAGCCAATCTGATTCAACACTTTTTGTTTAAAGGCATCGATTTGAGAACTAACAGTTTCCACTAACTTGGCATAATTCTCTGCCCGTTTTTCTTTGCCCTCGTGGATTCTTTCCTGAGTTCCACGGATTTTTTTATCGCACGAATCTAACTCTGAAATTATCTCGAACACTTTCGACCTGACCTCGCCTGCTCGTTTTTCAATAGACATAACACTATGGTTCGTGTGTAGAGAAATACAATTTGAGCACATAATTACGTCGCAGCTACAACAATAGATACAGCATATGTTTTTGTGGTCTTCGCATATGGCCGGCTTTTGTTGTTTGTCGTTTACAATTTCATGACCTCTTCTAACGTGTGACACAATACATAAATCACAGAAGACAGCAACTGTAGTCTCAGATCCATCCATACAATTTGTACACTTGAACATTTTTTCGAGCTTGAAATGCTCGGAACATGATTCACATTTGCCTTCCGTTGGTTTATCGAAAGTCTCAGACTTGCAATCACCGTCTGATTCTACTAAATTCTCATCCATTTAGAACACTGAAACAGAAACTTCCACTTCAAGTTCAAATACAACTACTTATAACTAAAACAAATATAACTATAAATGCCATTTTCTACTAGAGGCGTTCCAAACGAGAAGAAAAGAAGAGCGATCTGTAACGGTTCAGAATACGAACGACGCTTTCATTTGAAAAGCTCAAAAAGTCAATAGTGATGGACACATAATATGAGTTTTTTATATTTGAGATTCAAACAGCAATCTCTTTCAGATGGTATAAAAAATCCGTTAAAAACGCTTGGTAAAAAGTCGAAAATTGACTGAGTATGCGGGAACAAATAACTGAAACAGAAAAACTGCTGATTTTGTCAAATTCTCACTCAAAAACTTCTCAATCACTTCGACTGCTGATTTCATGAAGACATCGGTTCTGATTCAGAAGCAATCACCAATCTCTTGCGAGAAATTAGTTCTTGATTCCTCTACATAAACTTGGTTGATGTCAGGAAAAATCTCTATCATACCATTTCATATATGGAGTCTATGGAAAAAATACTTAAATGATTATCATAGAAGGAAATTGTATGACAAGCATTTTTCGATCGAAAACAAAATTTTTAAAAATTATCTCAAAACTCAAATAATGTGTTCACAAAAGCATTTCACGGAAAAAATTTGCATGCAAAAAATTTCTTTTTAGGTCTGCAACGTAGCCCAATCATTGAAACAAACAAAGTAGAAGCTTTCAAGCTATATAGATAAGTTACTATTTTGCTGTCAAAACAATAACTTACAAGGCAAATCGTCAAATGCAGTTTATAAGTGTGATACCTGCCACTTAAAATCTGTTTTTTTTTTATAATAAATATTTAGATACGTGTTTTTTTTTTGTTAAAACATGTTTTCGGACAAAACATGAAGTTTCAAAACTCAATTTTTTGTATCTCCATTGATGGAAAGAAGGCTTGTCATACAGTTTCAAGCATGGAAAAAATGCTTGCCATACAATTTCCTATGTTCACATAACTTTTATGATGAAAAGTATGGCAAATTGTTTGTTATTGATCACCAGAGTGTGAAAAAAGTATCATTATATAAAGTAACATTGGATGGAAAAAAGGCTTATTATGCTAATTGTATGAACTTTTTTTGTATGAAATAGTATGTCAATCATGTGTTTCATAAGATTTTGTCAGCCCAGATTCCATCTTAATACAATGGCAATCATAACAAGGATAGCCGGTTACTGTGCAAGTGGCACAGAAAGTTCTGACCATAGTCTTAAAAAAATATGACGAAGTTTTTTCAAATTATTGTTTTTTTTTCGGCGTGGTGTGATGAAAGGAACTGAACAAAAAAACTGAGAAAACGACAATAATTTTTCAAGTTATATTGTCGTTTTTTTTGGCGAGGTGTGATAAAAGGAGCTGAACAAAAAGATACATTCGACAGTCATAGTAAAATTTAGGCGGTCGACTGAAAGGGCTTTAATACGATATATCACTCAACCCAGTCTGGTGATTATTTGTATTAACTGATTTTTCATGGAAAACATAAAAAACACACCCGAATACCAAGTTCCTCCCAATTTTTCCTCAATTTAGGCAAAAAAAAATTATTACAAAAAAGATGAGAAAAAAAGAGAGGATCGATCTTTTATCAAACTTGAGCCCTTTTAACTAAGTCAGTTTCTGATTTTTAGATCTTTCGCTGGGAAATCTAAAAATTAAAATACACTTTCAATGCTAGAAGTCATTCAGGTCTTTTTGCGTCATTGTCGTTTTCGTAATAGGTGAGCGCAATTTGATCTCCTTTCAGCAAAAAAATTTCAATTGAACCAAAAAAATGGAACGCCAAACTGCAAAAGATCATATTAGACGTGAACCGAAAAAAAATCACGACTTGGATAATGTGTCTTCACTGTATTCATTGAGACTTAAAACCTTAAATATAGCAACATTTAGAACCTGATTTTTCAACTAATTTTTAAAAATAGAGGCTTTTTTCATGAGCAAAGCAGTTTTTCGGGTGTTCGCAGTATCTGATCCTCCGTGATAAGTTTCGTCAACGTTGAGCAACCACTGAAAAACTTTGTAGAAAACCGCATTTCTGGATAATACTTTATTTCACAAGATATCATCCAAAATAACTAGAATGAGAGAAATTCAAAATAATATAAAATCTGTACATCGCTATAAAATTGAACTTAAATAGCAATGAATTTGATATACTAATTTGAAATGGGGTTGCAGTTATAATAGACAAAACAGGTGAACTTTTTTTACGATCACCCAACGTTATAGTTATGGGCAAGATATCATAACTAGAAAAAACCAAACTTCAATGTCGCTTTGATTAAATTTCCGATAAAGAAGTTAATTTGGAAATGATTTATTCCGAGAAAAACAGCACAGATGATATTACAGCTACCAATTGAAATTCTTTTTATTCTCTGAATTCAAACTAAACCGTTTTGTCACTTCATAGGTTAAGGTGATAATTAGGGAGGTTATAACTGCATTGAACATTCTGGCCCCCACACCTTTATGCATTCCGTGTATGAGACCTTCGCTTTCAATTAGACTCTTCATTGTTGCAAATGCACTCGGCTGACCTGAAAGAAGGAACATGATCCATGACAATGCAAAAAAAACGCAAAAATGTTATTTAAACAACAATTTCTTAGATTGCGAGGCCAAACCGTGCATTTTGTGAATTGTGAGCGAATTCCGCAACAAAAGGACGCTCTCTTTGTTCTTTTTTGTTCTTTCATTTTCTTTAATCCCTCCGACAAAATTTATGCATTTATAAAGACTTATCTCAGTATTCCAAAGATCTTTAAACAGATCATTAGTGACATTGTCGAAATTTTATTGAAAGAACAAATTTTTTTTTTAACGTTCTCTATTTAAACAACGTTTGTTGCCATTTTTTTCATATGTTGAAAATTGACGGGGAGGAATTTGTATGTTGCTTATTTCCCTTGAGATTAAATCATCTTATTTTTTTCCAATACAGCTATGAAATTAGAATCTTCGTAGATCCATAGATGATTCCCTTATGACTCGAAGGAACCGAAATTCACGCCAGCTAATCAAAACTCCTGAAATCAAATATCTGAAATGCTTCTATCAATTGAGTAGCCCCAAAAACATGATTTTAATTTATACTTTAATTTATAAATTATTTTTGTTCTCGGCAAAAACATGAATTGCGCCCAGCTTCATTGACTAACCGAATTAAATCGATGTCACATAAGAGCAATCACACATTTAGTAACTGTTGGTCGTCTACTTAGATTTTCAACTATCTCACAAGCCAGTTTTATTTCAGTGGCATATTACATCTGCTTTTGGACAACCTTTACTTAACACACAATAAGTCTTAACAACTCGTAAGATTCTTTACTAATCATATTGACTTACTAATCAAATGACCAAAAAGTAACACTTTAATCTAATTTTCTGAATTAAAAAAAAGAAACAAGAATGCTCGTATCAGAGCAAAGCCTTGAGTGTTTCAACTTTCCACAAACAGTAGGAACAACAAGGACAGCGGTACTAGTATGATAAAGTGATCCCTCGAAAATGCAACTATGATAGACAGGTCCCACGTAAAAAAAATTTGAAAACTAATTTGTTTATAAATTATTCATTTCAAAAACCTCGCGAAATATGTTTTGTCAGAAACTTTCACATTAAATAGTGTAATAATTATATTGTTTATATCAAGAAAGTGGCTCGTCTCATTTTATTTCACTATATAGCAACAACAATTGGGCTAATTGATTTGTCATTGAAACTCAACTTTGATGGTTTTTTTTTGAAGGTTTTACAGAAAAACTTTGTTTGAAAATATACTTCGACTGCTTTCTGAATGGCAAACTCATTATTTTAAAACGATTTGAGAGCTCTGGGTGTCTTATTCTCAAGGAACCTGGTTATTTTCCAGGGACCACTCTATCATAGTAGTACCAGGACAGCGTATCATGCGACTATCCCAATTAGAATTGAGTTCTTTTTTACATTTGTAGAGTCTTTTTACATTTGCAACAAAAAGTAACAAAAGCGCATGCCTTAATTGCGAAAGTCAAGCGGCACGCGTGTATGTCGCCACACTGCCGTGTGAAATACTTCGTCTGTTCAGACAGTTTCAACTATCTTTCCAACAAATTTGATCTCAGTGGCGTTGTACATTTGTGATCAAAATTTGGGAGTTGCTTTTCGGAATAAAAAAATATTGTTAAATCTACTCTCAAAATGTAAAAAACAACATGACGAAAGCCAAAACTGAAAAATTAATTTCAACAAATCTGACTCAAGCAAATTTTGATTTTGAACGCAAAAAACGAAAAGTTGAACGCCAATTTTAGCAACTCTTCTATTTGATACGAAAAGAAGATACAAGGCTAACATCTTTATTCTTACAGGAGTGATATGTTAAATTCATTTAGAAACGTGTCCCACCTTCCACTTGCATTCTGGCCCGGATGACGTCCAGTGGGTTTGTGAGGTAGGAAGAGGTCAGTCCGGCTAAGGGTCCAGTGATGCAGTTGCACAGAATAGTCGGCATCCACTCTGGCTTCCGACTGCAAATCGCATCTGAGCAAATAAGCCAAAATATCAAAAAAGCTGTGTCGAGAAAAATTGAGATTGATTATTCTGCTATCAGACTGAACTTGAGGGCTTCGATCGATAATTTTGATAAGATTTTTTGCTCAATGAAACGATCGAATCAAATTTCCGAGCTCGCCTTAACCATCAAAAAGACTCATTAAAGATTGATTTTTTAGTGGTGCAACTGAATGTTCGAATGCTGCACCACTAATTTTTTGACCCTAGTCATTGCACATTGAGTAGAAATCCAATTAATTTAATAACTAACAGAAAATAGCCAACTGACAGTTGGAAGATAGTAATGAACGCAAGTAAACAGAAAAAAAAACACTGACTTTAATGAAAAAATCTATAAAAAAAACTTCAACTTTCAAATTTCCAAGAAAACAATAGTAGCCCTTTAACTCTATAATATTCTTGAACATTTTATGATTGGCATTTTTCTGATAAAATTAACCCAACTTGAGAAAACTGGATCAATCAGTAGGTAAAGTTTTTAATCCGCTGGGAAATCTTAAAAATTAAATTCCACTTTCGAAACTTGAAATCGTTCACGTTTTTTCGCGTTTGTATTTGGAGTGCTTTTTACGTCATAATCAGCAGATGAATTTCAAATGAACTCAAAAAGTGCATATATACCTAAGTGCATTCATAAAAAAATATCATGACCTATTTAAGAGTCTTCACTACGTTCATTACTCTTAATCAAAATTAACTGAAAAAACTAACCATTATATATTGAGTAAAACTGCCACCAGAGGGCAGAGTTTGAAGCGTACAGAAACATGGAGGAGAAGTAGCCTCTATACACACCACAGAGTCCATACTTGGAGTAGACTGTCCTGGCCACGAAGAAGAGAGAAGTCCCCTTGGGAATGTTCACATCTCCTATACTGTGCACACGCATGTCACGACGAGCCTAAAACAACAATAAATCGCACGTTGAAACTATTAACTATTAATCGAGCACTTCCAACTGCATTTAGGCTAGTGGCAAGTATACTCGCTCGACAATCCGAAGAATTCGGGATCGATACCCATACGCACGGAGTCGCCTTTTTTGAAGTTGGTCTGAAAAAAAAACACCCCAAGCATATATACTCCATGAACAAATATATATTCCGAAAAATAACAAAATTAGTAATCTAATCAGCTATTTCCCCCTATATGATATCTAAAACAAATGATCGCTATATTGAGAAAAGTCAAACGTTGAGTGTACACGAATTTGGTGCTACTATGATAGAGTGATCCCTTGAGAACAACCAAGTCCCTCGAGAATAAGAAACTAGAGCTCTCAAATCGTTTAATAGGTTTAGGTTCGCCATTCAGAAAGATGTCGGAATATTTTTTCAAACAAATCTTTCTATGTTTCTTTATCTCGTAAAACCTTCCCCGTTGCAATTTATGCGTGCGGAAAATTCGAACGAACTGCCAAAATTGAGTTTTGATGAGAAATAAGTTACCCCAATTGTTTTTTGAATCGTAAAAATGAATCCTAACCCTAACCCTAACCCTTACGAAGGATTGACCCGCGAAAAGGCAACTATAATATACAGGTCCCGCATGCATTTATTCATTTCAAAAATCTCCAGAAATATGCTGATACAGAAACTTATGAGATTAAACAGTGTAATGGTTGTGTTGTTTATATTAAAAAAGGGTCGCTTCAACTTACTTTACAAATTAAAAACCATAATTGTATTAACTATTTGTCATCAAAACTCAATTTTAGATTTCCTTGAACTCTCCGCCTTATAATGGGTTTACATTAAACCCTTATAATGGGTTTACGAACGTTTTACGAAATATCAAAAAGTATCATTTAATTGAAAGTGTACAGCGACATCTTTCTGAATGTCGAAATCATACTTGTTAAATGATTTGGTAGCTCCAAGTGACCTTCTTCTCAAGGGACCTCGTTATTTTCAAGGCACCATACTATCATATTAGTATCCTAAAATAAACTAAAGCGAGCATTTTTCTTGATATAAACAATATAGTAATTACAATTTTTAATCAAAAAAATTTATAACTCAACATAATTCGCGAGCTTTTTGAAGTGAATAATTTATGCACAAACTAGTTTTCAAATTATTACATGCAAAAAGTAAACGGGGTGATCTGTCTATCATAGCTGCTTTTTCGAGGGACCACTCTATCGTAGTAGTACCACGAATTTTATACCTTATACAGAATAAACCTGTTACTGTGTACCAAAATCGCAAAAGGGGGCGCGTCTGAAACACACAAAGAAAAGTCAACAAGGCTTTTTCATTTAAGCCTTTTCAACAAGCTTTTCAACTAGTTTTGTTTTTTCTTCACAGATGTTACCAAATTTGCAGAGAAATGAACTGAAAATCACGCCATTTTTGAACTAAAACACGATATACATGTTACAATAGAAGCCCTCTATTATTTTATTGCAGCGATGGAAACAATGAGCGGACTTGTTATCTTATTCGTTGTCTTTCTAATCGTACTGATTTATTTGAAATGCAACCGGAATCATTCGAACACCGGCAGGACTAGAACTAGTCAATACTTAATTGAGTCAGTACCACGTCATCTTCGTCCTGATACTCATCGTTTAGAATTGCAGTACATACTTCGGGAGGTGTTCTCAAATCTTCATACTGTCGATTTGCCATTACACTGTTTAACTGCACGCGAAGCCTGTAAGAGACTAGATGAGGTTTACCAGGCATGCCAAGCCAGTAACAAACTGGGTTGTATAATTATAAGTAAGTTTATGCTCGATCTCGATGTCAAACGTGCAATTATTAAAATGGCCAATTCACGTGGCTGGCCTTGTCTCGATATAGAGGACTTATTTGCAAATGGAAATGGGAGAGCTGGACTCGATCCCGGATTTATTGCAATAGAACTTTAAGCCTCTGAGTTTTTTTTATTATTGTTATCCTAGGAACAGCATTCATACTATTTTCATATATAAATTATTTGATTAAAATTTTCTATAACATTAAAATACTTAAAAAAATTCTTTCGACGTTTTCTTTTGTAATGAGGTTGCCCAAATTTCTGGAAATACAGATTATTCAGCACTTTTCGTTTTGCTACTAGAGCACTTTTAAGTCGTGATTCGGACTGACTGCAACTAATAACTCGGGGATCTGAAAAGTTCTCCTTTGGATTGTGAGGGCGTCAAAAATATGAAGTTGCTGTCTATATGAAAAAACTCAAAACCTCGACTTCAAACTTGAAACTAATCTATTAGCATCTTAGAGTAATATAACAATTGAAACTTTTCGTTTTTCAGGGTTTCTTTTATGTTCTAACCAAAATTTTTCCAAAGCAGTTAAAATAATACAAGCTTCGAGCGACCACCTCTGACAGTTTCGGATCTCAAGCAATCAACCAATTAAGTCGCAATCTTTTATCACAACCAATCCACGGCCGAACAACTGATTGTTTCTCAACTATAACTTCAATGAGCCGAGACTTTCTTCAACCATTTTTGCTCTCAAAAAAACTATCATATGACCATCGACTGAAACAATCTATTTGATGGTAATTATTTTGAGAATTTTGAGCAATGAATGATAGATATTTTTATGCAAGTAATTTAAGACAAGCTCTATGCTGTTTGATTATTTTTTCAGATTTACAGTTGACGAGAGAACTGTAGCATAAAAAAATAATTCAAAGCAAACTTTAATTGTCTCCCACAATTCTATGAAAAACTGTTAAGCGAATTTTCAAAAGAATTTTTTTTCTTTTGATACAGATCTTTTGAAAGAGAACGAACTGAAATGGCTTTACTTTGATAAATCACTCGTATTATTTGAAGTTTGTTCGTGGTACCTGATACTGCGTAGAAAAAATCTACAAAATATGTCGGATCAAGTTCAAAATCTACAGAAATTAGTCACTGAATGCAGATTTATTGCAGAAATTAACCTTCATCTTCCTATGTGCTGCAAACAAAAAAAACTTTAGAGCATGCTGTAAGTCTTTTTTCTGGAATCCACTGGCTTTGAGCACAGAACTGTTCATGCTTTTTCACCAATTCTCCCAAGTAAAGTTGTTTCGACCATGAACAAACAATAGCAACTACGATTAATGTCCAGATAAACCTCAACCTTTATCTAGCACTTCAATAGAACATCGATTACCTTTTTGACTTTATTGATGCAGCCAAAAACATAATAAAATATCGAGTTTGTTTCGATTTTCCATACATTTTTTTAGAGCTAGCACAGAAATATTTGTCAAGTCTAGCACATTGATAAGTATAGAACAGGTTTAAAATATATGCTTTTTCAGTCTAATCGAAACGAATGAGCAACAAGCTCCTTTTAACCCTGACAACAAAGTTTTACTGAAGAAAATTTAGTTTTCGAAGTTACTTGTCGCGCCTTTTTGGGAATAAATATTTTAAAAATATTTTCTAATTTTGTTGTTTTGATTTCTTTTGCTTCTTTTGATTTTTTCGAGAAAAAAAAAACTGTAGTCGAATATGCCTTACTTACTTTTACTAACAAATAGGCTTTAGACCTTCAGATCCTCTCATTATACAAGGAACAAAAAACTATTTTTTAGTTTTTTATTATTGTGTTCGGAACTTTCTGTGGTACTTCGGCAGTAAACAGCTATCTTGTTTTCGGATGCATTTAGTGTCAAAAATTAGCTTCGCCTGCGTGTCGAAATAAGAAAGACGAACAGATTGATGAGCTGGAAAGAAGTCTAATTTCCTATTATAAAACACACGTATTAACATATTCAGATTGAAACCAACCAGATGGGAAAAAAAAGACAAACCCAACGTGGAAATTTTCCGCGAACTACTTTTAAGAAAATACACCTACGACGCAGCCAGAATAGTAGGAGTTACCTATACCTTGTTTTTTCGACTTTATGTAAAAACCGTTAGGAACACTCATGGGGTGTTTTTCAGACCAACTTTTCAGATAAAAAATAAATTTTCACCGCAATTTTTCAATACCTCAAAAAAGATATGGACTCACTGAGTTGCTTCAACTTCTAAAAAACATTTCCCTGCGATCATTTTTGACAAAATTATGGGGTTGTAGAGTTTGCGCATGGCGAAGTGCTCCGCGTTCAAAATAAATCCGAATTGATTTGAAGCAAGCTAATTCGTAATAACTTCATATAGACTATTGAATGAGGAAACAAAGTGCATCTATTTTTTCGACGCAAAACCTGACCGAGACCAGCTAAAAGGCAGTCAGAACATCAATCAACAACTTGCCCAAATATTTAATTATATTTCAGACTTTCGAAGAAAGTGACGCAAAATATGGAATATAAAGTGACGCAATTTATGTGCGCTTGGCGTTTTTCTCTCTCTAGACAAATAGCTAGACATTTTCATCTGAAAGCAATTGCCTTGCGCTGAAAAAAAAAGCATTTCCCTTGGGACTTTTAATGCGTAAACGCCGAATTAAATCAATCTAAAACGAAATGAGGTACTAGAAGCAAAACATACCTTTTATTTTTCTGACTTTCGAAGAAAGAGACGGAATATTTTTTCTCGGGTGGTTTTTTTCTTCTCCAAAAAACAAACATTTTACAAAGCAACTTTAGAGTAATTTCTTTTTATATCATTCGAAAATTACCGTTTGCTTGAGCTCAATTTGAAATAATTTAGCCTTTAGCTCAAGTGAAATAATTTAGCCGAGATCGTACTTCGTTATGGGGGTTTCAAATTTGGGGGTTAATCTAAGGTAATTTAAGCGCGATATATTCCGTGCTATTAACGCGCAGACGGAGATTTAATCCGTCTTAGAAATTGTTCCTAAATCAATTGAGGCAAGCTATTTAGTCTATTTGATACTTTGCTTCAAGCAAAATACATCACTTTATACATCACAGAGCTTGTGGGGGATGATTTACAAAAAAAATGTCAAAAAAATGCAATTTTTTGCTTTTTTTTTTTGAAAATTTCATAAATTTTTCTAATCTTTCTTTTACTAATCCATAGACCCTAAAAGGCAGTTAAAACGTTTACAGTTACGCGCTGATACGACGACCTGTTGTTTACATAAATAATAATAATAATGTAGTTCCTGCGAATCGCAGTGGATCTATCAGTAGGCCTTTAACAGTCCTTTCGAGGATAGTCCATTTGTATTATCTCCCCACATTCCAGACTGTGTTATTTTGTTGAGCGAAGCTCTTTTTTGCGCGACTCAAGGCCGTTTTTGTGCGTCTAGAACTTTCACGTGGTACCACTATTGCAGCCAAACTTCGTCAGATTGTGGTAGACCTGAAGCTAGAGGTCAAGTGAGAGCTCGTCCTCACACACTATAATTGCCATGGCATGGGATCAATTACACGCTCTGACGATTCTAAAGTGAACGCCTTACCACTATGCTAAGTGCCCCTAAATTAATTACATATAATTAAATTTAGAAAACTTGAAAACAAAAACTTTTTTTTTTTTCAGAAAACTGTATCGTTTTTTATTGCTAATGTACGGTTGATTTAAATTCTCCTGTGTTTTTTCTATTACAGCGAACCATTAAAAGTCGTTGTTATTTAGAGTCAAATTAGCAAATGCATGCTCTTTTCAATTCTGAAATTAAATTGATATTTTTTTGAGTTCTTAACAGAATTATTATTATCTTTGTCAGATAGCATGAACCATATCGGAAGCACAAGAGACTAAATCGAGGCCTCGTTAAGTTTTCATTGACGTCATTCGTCTCGCTTGGAAGAAGGCGAGGAAAAAAGAGCCAACGAGCAGCCCAACAAGCTGCATCAATTGTCATTTTAAACGCGGTCCCTTTAAAACTTCCAAAAAAAAAAATTATTTTATTTACTTTGAAAATTTAAAAAAATCAGTCAAGGGCGGATTTAGTCAATTAGCTTATTGTACTTTTGCAAATACGAGTTGCCTTTTCTTCTAATTTTATCATTTGATGTTAATTTAGTCCAACTCTTTGATTTGAAGGCTTTTTGGTCTTTTATTTAAGTCTTAGTCCTTGGTCTTTTTTAGTTCAAATTTGCAATAGATGGTGTTACATATTGGAAGTCTACAATACTTTTGTTATTAAACGTGATTCATATTTGAACAACAGCAGTTTGAAAAAAAAAGGCCAAAAAAGTGTTTTTAGGCACTTTTTGGAAAATTTCAACCAAAAAAAAAAGTTTTTCAGCGCTCGCTCCCCCCTCAAAGTTAGTGCCAAAGGGTCAGTCAGCCACAAATGGATATCTCAAAATAGAACAAAGTGTGAACCCTTTGGGTCGGCAGGGGGTCGAATTCCTCGGGGAGGTGGGAGTCCGCTCCCTAAAGCCGCTACTGGGATTCGAACACTAAAAAAAGGTCTGCAAAATATCAAAAGTTGTAAATTGGAGGGGTCATCTCTTAAGCGTGTTTCTGAATATAATTATAAGAACACTGCAAAAAGACTGTTTTTTAGTAATTAGTAATTTTATTTCCAGCTTTTTTCCTCATACGATTAGAAAACTTTTTTTGATCGCTTTGATATCTCGTGGCAGAAGGATCGAATATCATAAAAATGAGTAACTCAATCAGAATTCGAATATCTGAAAGAGACGCTTGAAAATTCTGCCAGATTTGGAAATTCTAAAGAAATAATTTGTTTGCAAATTGTCCCATTAATTATGTAGAGACGCAATTGTCGAATTCTGACTTAGGAAACAAACTTAGCAGAGAAGCCCGATTATTGCTGTGTAGTGCGAAAACATGAAAGGAAATTGTTTTTTGGCTCCACTACCGACCGTCATCATCATATGCTGGGATAGAATGTCCACTGGAACTGAGATGGTCTGTCCGACCAGCGAGGCCAGAGCACCGGCTGTGATATTCTGAGCAGTCCTTCCTCCTCCTGCCGATCTAAAAAAAAGTCTGAACATAATCATTAGACAAGAGGAATAAAAATTACCAGTTGAAAGAAGAAAGAAAAATTTATTCTCATTGTTAATTGTAAATATGCATACAACGAGAATTAAAATATGAAGTACCAGAAACAGTGAGGGGACACTTAACGAATCCAATTGGGCTACAGAGCACTACCCGTTTTATCAAATGTAAGAAAAATTTGAGATCTTCAAAGACAAGGAAAAATATATAAATCTGAAAACATAAAAGAAAATATTGGAAAAAAAATAGTCAAGTTTGAATAAATATAAAGCAGCAGATTTAAGGCATTGTACCAGTTAGATACAGGTTGGGGGAGATTCAAACAAAGCTCGCAGCGGAGGTCAGGTGTAGAGGTATCATATTAAGATTCTTCCAGTTGAGATTCGGATTCCAAAAAAATCGCAGTCCAAGTTATCTCAGTGTTCGGTAAAATTGGTCATTTTAGTTTTCATTTTTCAGGCTTTTTCACAAAATGATCCTGAATTTCTTATGTAATTTTGCGGCACAAAATTTCTTTGTACTTTGCGGCACATTACATCACTTTAGTTATTATCACTAAATTCTTGCCACCCAGTAAGTAAATCGGGAGTAATTCAACCTCCCACTCACATCGACAAAAAACAATTTTAATTTGATTTTTAAATTAATTTTGAAAATTCATTACGAAAGTTGCATGGCCGGAATAATCTGTACCATTTCTATTCAAACGGTTTGCATCACGATCGGAACATTCAGTTTCAATAAATTCGAGCGTGAAGTCAAATTTGGTCAGTTTTGGACAGTTTTAAAAACGCCAACGAACGATAGTTTAGACAGTTGCAAAAGACCAAACGCAGAAAAACAAGAAAAATCAGACTTATTTATGAAAACAGCCAACAGACAGGTGGAAAAGAGTCAATGAACGCATTTAAACAGAAAAATACTGATTCGTTTTTGAAAAATCTCAACTTTCGAATTTTGAAGGAAAAATAGATGCCATTAAAGCTCTTTCAGTTTCTAAAACAATCTTTAATTGGCCCTTTTTGATAAAATTTCTATTGCGCTGAGAAATTTGAAAAATAAATTCCGATTTCGAAAATGGAAGTCAAAAACGTTTTTCGAGACCTTTTCACTTTTGCTGTTCGATAGTGGAGTTAGCCTTCTTTTTATCAAAAAAAATGAAATAAACTGAAAAAAAAAAATTGTAAGTTAAGCAGCAAAAAAATAAAACAAGTTTGAGCATGAACAAATTTCAAGAAATTTTCCCGGAAAATAAATTTTTGATCAGGTTGAAATTCTGCTGATTCCACGGATTCAGTGTACTATATAGTGATATTCAGTGCACAACAGAAGTGCTGATTTCATGCACAAATATTTTACATTATTCACTAAAATTCGCGGATTCCGAGGACTTCGTCCCAAAATGTAAGTTGCGGAGTCCGTGACATCGTACTATTTGCACCTCGTGCCGTAATTGCAGATGCTTGGTCACGGATTCAGTATTTCCCGAGTAGTCACAGTTCACGCAACAGGTTCTTAAGATGTGCTCGGAATCCGTCTTGTTGTATACATGTTGTTATAAAAGTTTATCAACGATATTTAAAAAAAAAAACGTTTCAAAAATATACCGCGGACGAAGCTGCTCTTTTCAAACACATACAAAAAAGGCAAAAGAGATCTTTAACATTGAAAGAAAAAAATATGTCTGAAAATGAAAAATGAATTTCTGATAGTGAAAACCAATCAACAATGAGGGCAATTTAAAGTAGATAAAAACCAATGCGTTTAATCTGTCAAATAAAATTAGAGCAGCAGACACAGTGAAAATGAACAAAAAAGTTGACATCTAAAATTTGCGAATCGGACTGGCGCAAAAAGTGAACCGAAAAGTGTCACAATTTACCACAGACAGTTACGGACATTGACTTTAAAACTTGGCGGTCAAACAATTATTTTGCACATGAAGTATCTTAGTTTCTGCTGCCATAATTGTAAGCGTAGTTGTCAATATAGTGTAGCAAACAAACCAAATTGCACTAAATGATAACCCAATTAGTAATTGATGATTGTTTTTGTAGAAGTTGAACTTACCTGACCCAGTGTTTACTGTACTCGTAAGTTAGAATGTAGCAACACCCTGAGAAAGCACTGGCCATGTAGACACTGAATCCACGGTACAGTCCAGAGACGCCTTCTGATTTGAGGATCTTGCGGAATGCATCGCGCCCATTCAAGTATCCGGCGCCTGAAACACAACAAAAAAACAGTTCACGCCACACAATTCAGAAGCACAAGTGTCATTTGTCTGAACCATAAAAAAACAGCTGCTAATTGGATCAGAAGGCTATTCTCCTCCAGCGCGAAGGAAAAGTCATCAAAGCTATTTAAAATGTCCAAAACTGACATTTTTTATCGTTTATTTTCTTCGAATTTGTAATTCATGAATTCCGATTGGTTGACAACACTTTCGTGCATTCGGTCCTTAGTGCATGAAGGAACCTCAACCCCTCCCCCTCCCCCGGGTTATACTACTTTATCAGATGACTTGAAACAAATACTCAGGGAGCAGTGACTGTACTTAAGATAGATAGATCATGCTATTTGCAGTGGAATCTAAATTGAAATAGACAAATTGAGTACATCCAAAGAAAAATTTGAACAAAAAGGGGACTTATTTTAATACTGAAGCCTGACTTTATAATAAAAGCCATTAGCATAAGTCAAATCTTTTTGGCGTTGGTACGACTGTCAATTTTGTGTTTTATGACTAAAAACACGTCTATGTGCCAATATAAGCTGTTATAAATTGAATTCAAATCAGATCAATTAATTGAAAGTGAAGGAAGAAAGAGAAATAGTAGCTTTGAGCCATCGATAATGGTTGAACATAGCCGATAGATAGAAGTGTTAATGAACTCAAGGAAAATAACTAGAAAAGACGACCAACAGACAGCTGGAAAAAGAGCAATGAACTCGGAAAAAAAACAAAAGACCGATTTTTTCTGCAAATTTTTGAGCTTCATAGAAAAGCATACATCAGTTGAAAAAGTATTAGAAATTCAAAAAAAATTCATTAATCTTTTATGATTGCTAATTTTCCAACACGCCAAACCCAATTTGAGAAAACTAGACCAATAGATAAAATTTTATCCCATTTTCAAAATGAAAGTCAAAATTCACAGTCCCAACGTATATGCTTTAATTTGCTTTAATTATCCGAGAGGGTAATTCGCCTAAACTTCTCAATTAGAATTGAAGCGAACTTAAGAAAAAATCAGTCGCCAAACAACCAAGTCAAAATGAGCCTAAAAACGCAACCCCAAAAAGCGAAGACTTACATACCCGTATTTAAATTTAGGCCCAAGTAAAAGATTATAACGGGTTCGATGAAGATTTTTGGCGTTTATAATTGATTATAACGACCAATTTTTAGTTAATTAAAGGATTTGTGACCGATTAAAATCGTTATAATTTCCAAGATATTCAACAATCAATTATAACTGATTATAGTTCCTGTAAAAAAGTCTTAATATCGATTTTAACATCTTAATTCGCTAAAAAGCTATCACACCAAAAATATCTCAGAATGGTTATAATGCTATCAATAACGAAATCCCAAAACATCTTTCTTCTGTCACCTTTTGGTCCATCTGAAATAAAGTTTTCACCACGAAAAAAAAGTTTCGTAGACATTTTTTCATATCAAATGAAAGATTCCCAGGGTAGGTAAAAAAAACTCTAACACTAAAATAAACAAAACATCAGAGTAAAATGTGTGCATTTACTTTGATGGAAAAAAATTTGAGCATCATGAACAAAAAATTAAGAGAAAAAAATCCATGAAAATGTTTTATATTTGAACTGATTTCAAAACTGTTAAACTGTTTTCTTTTTCAAAACTTCACTTAAGCCAAGCTCTATGCGAAGCATAAAATATATGCAACTGAGAAGCAAGATCGAAGACAAAATCGGCAAAAAAAGGAGTTTAATCGAAAAAAATGGATTATATTTCAAAATAAAAAACAATAAAATGCAATACAAATAACCAATTATACTCAATTATATTTGTACTTGAAAACAGATTGAATAATTAACCCTTGAGTAAAATGTTCGAAAACTAAATTTAATATTTGAAAAAAAAAGAGATTAAAATCGATTATTAATTGATTATAAAAAATTTGTTCTAAATTTTCTCAAAAATATTCGATTAGAAACGCTTAAAACTAAATGCAGGCCCTGCAATCATTTAGTTTTACAAAACTCATTACAAATCAATTCTCAATTTTCCAAGTTCAAAGAATGAAGCATATCAGTCTGTATTTTTTTTTATTCAGGAAACATTTCGACTTTCAGGAAATGAGAAAAAAAATACTTTAAGAAAATACGTTTTAAGAACCCAAAAAACAGTGATTCTTTTAAATCCTGAAACAACATCGAAAACGAAGAAATAAAAAATACCATAGTCGATAGAGGATAGTTGTCTGCATGGTTTTCGCAAAAAGAGGGTACCTCGCAAAAACTTGGAAGATAAAGCATTGAAAGAAGTTTTCTTAAAGATCATTCAGGAAATTATAGGAACACGAAAATCAAAACTTGAAAGCTATTTCTAAATAGTTACTTTTGATATAAATTGGATTTCAGTTGGCATCACTTGAACTACTAAAAGGTCAATTAGCTTGAGATGTTTTGTATGTTGTGTTCAAATGAGTATGACCGAAAAGATTATTTTTCATTCCCTTTATATTCCACCTAATATTCAAAACAGAAGCCTTTTTTGAAAATTTTCTTTACTTCATTTATTAAAGTATTTTTTGCACTATTTGGTTGTTCTAAATCCAGAAGTTGAGAAAAAAAAGAACAAAGACTCTAATTGCTCCATTCACATCAAATTTTAATCTTGTTCTTAAAACGTCCTCAAAGCTTTTCCATTAGGATTAAAATAACATTTTATTCAAATGAAGCTATTTTCATATTATCAATCTTTCCCATAATAGAAAAAGCATTTTGAAGGCATTCGGTTGACTTGTGTCATTTCGAATTGCACAATTGATGGAAAAAAATTGCATTCAGTTTGCATACAAAAGAAAAACAATAACATCTTCATGAATTTCAATTATATTTAAAAACTTTAGCGGAAAAGGGATTTTCGTTCAAGCCCCGAGGATAGGATTTATTCAAAAATTACAAAAATAAAGACACTTATTGTTTGCAGACGGTCTTCAATCAGTAAAAATTTGTGAATGCGTTCCAAGGTGAATGGGTCAACACAACACGTAACTGCAATCAACCTCAAAAAAATTAAAAATTAACTGCGGAACAAAAAAATCCGATTGCTGTCTACATAGAATAGAACTTCCTTTTCACAATAAAAAGTTTGAAAACCCTCAAAAATTGTCTGCTGTTTGCTTAAATAACAGTCGTGTACCGAATTTAAAATCTAAACTGGATTAAATATAGTTCAATTAGTTCAAATAAAGAACAATCTGAGCGGTAGATTATAGTCTAAATTCAGAAAGTCAAAAACAGACAAGTTTTTCTCAAAACATAATTAATTAGAGTCCGCTAACCTATTTTCATTAACTCACTTCATTACCTTTCCCTTCCTTAATTTTCTACAAAAATCTTGATTGTGAATTTTTCCTATTTCAAATTAAAAAAAACGTTCAGCAAATTTTCAATTACTTTGAAAATTGTCTGTTTTTTTTACAATATCAAGATTAACCAATTAGCAATATGACTATTTTTAGGTGGAGCTAACAAATAGGAAGCTTTCTTCTGTCGCAGAAAACGGGCACCAAAAGCGCCGAAAGTATGCGAGAATTTCTTACAATTAAATTGAGTCATCCCAAAATTGATCCAAATTCAGAGAAGTTGGTACTGTGAAAACATTTGTTTTCATCGACTGGGAATAAAATTGAGGCTAAGCGCCGAGCATTCAACAAAAAGGCAGTAAACTGAGTTTTAATTGAGAAACATCTCTTCCAAAAAGCTGATTAAAAAATGGGACATGACGTGGTACAACTTTCAAAGCGACTACAGACACCGCGAGCAATTTGATGAACTCACGATTAATTTATTCAATTTAACTTTAAACAAATCAAATCAAAAACAACAAAAAAACTGCGCGAAAAAAACAAGAGTACCTGATTTCTGCAAAAGTAGCAATAGATGGTTGAGACCAAAATCGAATTTATTTTTTTCAATTTTGGGTTGTTTTTGCGAGTAAGAACATGACGCAAACTAAAGCAATAGCAAATTAAGTATATTCGACAACTGTTCTCTTTAAAAAATTTCTCATTTTTGCAAATTATATTTTTGAATTTAAAAATTATTGTCCAGGGTGCTAAATGGAACAAATTATGCTAAATTGAACTAAGTTTTTCACGTTTTGAACAAAAAAGATTTTCCTGTAATAACACACATTAAAGCGCTTTACTTGCTCGAATTTAGACCGAAACGAAATTGTTGACACTGAGTAAAAACAATGAATCGTTTGTAAGGTAGTTCGAATCAGGACTGAAAGGGATACAATATGAGTTAACACTCAACTCATTCTGATAATTACTAAGGGCACCTAATTTTGCGCTGCAAAAAAGTAGAAAAAAAATAAAACAGCGGAAGACAAAATTCTTTCCCACTTTCAGTGATGGGAACAAAAATCCCAGGCAGCAGACCACAGAAAACAACGGATGATTTAATTTTTAGAAAATGTTCAAATAGCGAGTTTGCATTCACCAATAAGCAAAAAACACTGCATACAAGGGCTTCAAAATGGTAGAAATCGAGCGCTTAATAAGTATGCGAAAAAACAACTGAAATTAACCCGTTACGGGTTTTAATTCCAAATTATGAGTCGTTTGTATTTCGCGATAACCCACACTACCTGTAGTCTTAGTTTCTTACAAAATAACTAATACTAAATAATTAAATACCAGATATCTATGAATGCGCTGTGATGAAGCATATTCAAGCAGAAAAAACGTATGCTACTAGATAGCTCGCCAAAAAAAACTTAAGCAAAACCAGAAAAAGTTTTTTGGACCTAGGGTTGGCACACATGTTGTATGAATTGGAGTAACTTCAAATCAAATTTTTTTTCGGAACTGAATTATTCAACACATCAAGCCTTTACTTCATTTGCACTCTGCATCTAGACAACCCTACAAAACCGAAACACAAATTCTGTTTTTAAGACAAAATCTTAAGAAAGAATAGTCCATGAAGCTAGCCTCCACTAATAAAAAAAAAGCTAGTTTCTGAACACAGAGGCAAAGCTGCACTTCGCAAACACAAAAGCAAAAAAAAATAAAAAACAGGAGAAGAAAAACAAATCAAAGCTAAGAAGAGCCAAAACGTTACGGCACTCAAAACTAAGACAATTTGAGTAAATAGCAGTAAAAATTGCGCCGTGTGGCTATAAGTACCTCAATAACTAACCAAAAACAAACAGGAGACTATAAAAAAAATGCTAATAAATTGCCATAAAATGCTATACCAGCAAATGTTAATTAAAATTGACAAGGCCACCAAGTGTCAGGGTTGAGACAAAACGTATTGGCTGGAGATTAGTAGTATCACGTTTGCTTGTGTGAATCTTTTTAAAGCTAATTTATTAGAGGTGCCCACCTTTATAACCTTTTTCAGGAACATCGGAGTTCTATCTGAAGACTCAGATTCCTTAACTGAAGAACAAGTTAAGAATTGCTATCACGAAATCAAAGGCAGCTAAAGGCTCAACAACAGTGAAATAACTCGAAAAACTTTTTTCTTTGAAATCGAATAATTAAAAAACAATAAACCTACGCAAAAAACTTAACGGTGCCTTCTTCGAAGGCACCGAGGGTCCAAAAATGGGGTCAAAACAGCTAAATTTTGTGTTTAAAACCAAGTTACTAAATTTCGCATAAAAGTTTTTCCTGTTTTTCCTTTCCTCGCTTAACTTCGAACTTGCGCCACCATAATACCTCTGACACCTACAAATCGTGATTGTGAATAAGACTTCTCTTTACCTATATTTCTCGAAAAGTTTCTGAGTGAACAAAAAAAACACCAAATTTTTGGTACCTTTAGAAACATTTTTGCTAGCTTGTTCAATCAGGCAAACTATGTTGAGTTTCACTTCAACTCGGGTTCAGTCCTTGTAGGTGCTGAGAGTTCAATACAGATTTGCCTGGTAGTGCCATCATCAAATGTTAGTTTTCTTGAGTCCTTGCTTTTTGCAAAAAAAAAATTATGAATAAACATATTTTTTTCTCCAACAAATTGTTGACAATACAATGAAGAATCATATCGAATAGACTAAATCAATTTAAACATTAGTTTCTCTTTCGTTGTATAAAGGATTGAATAAAAGCAGCCAGGTGCTCTGAAAAAGGTACAACATACGCTTAGAACAGGTAACACTTTTGTTCCAACCACTGATAATTAGAGGGAAAAAGTTTTAGCTTTTCTTAATTTCCACACAAATCAAGTACCAAAGTGGTCATCTAATTCGATTGATTGATGTATCATACTAAAGCTCTTTCAGTCGTGATTTGAACGATAAACATTAATATCCAAAAAAACTCAATTCAAGAAAACCAGGTTTTATTTTTTGTCTTTTAGTCTTATTTCGAGCAAAAGAGCTAGCGAGCAAGTTTATTGTGGGAGAATGAGCCATGGAACTTTTACTCGAGCCCTGCAAAACTAGTTTTACTCAGGTAAAATTACTTTTCCAAGAATTTTTAGCGACCCTAATTTTTTAAATTAACTTTGTAATCTGCCTCACCAAAAAAAAACGTTTATCAGATGAAACTTTTTAAAACGACACAAACTTTCTTTGAGGTTTCTAAAATCACGTGACCTTATGCCATAGTTGTTTTTCACCACTGCGATAAATGATCGGAACAAAAACTAAGAATCGAGGAATCTACTTAACAATTAACCCCCTGTACAATCAGAAACCAGCAAAATTTGATTTATAAATAAAAAGCTCTACAACTAATTTACTGCTTTTATTTCTAGGGGTGGCAATTCTTCAGTAGATACCATAGGGGGTCGACTCTTAAGTAGATCCGAATCAAGTCGTGCGTTTGATACATGATTATCAGAATGGTATGGTTTGCAGATGTGAAAACTTGATTAATCTGAAACGGAACTAAAAACGGCAGTTTTCCAGTTTCGTAAAATTAAAGCAAAGTTAAGGAAAATTGTGATCAATTGAGCAAGCAATCTCACCGCTCCTCACTCCGTAATAACCAATTGAGCTATCTCCCCCCAAGCAAAAAGGTTAAAACGCTACAAAAGACATTATCAAATGCAATCAAATCGTTTGTAGGTTCATAGCTCGCAATCATTTGACCGACTGACGTTTATTTTACCCGAGTGTCGAGAAAACTTTTTGTTTGGACGAACCATGGATCAGGGAAAGCAAGTTATCAGGGCTGGTGCTTTAAATTTGTATCTGTAAACCGGAAATTGTTCTCTTCGGCGCCTTTCTAACGAACGCAGTGGCAATTTTAGTAATTTTTTCACTTTTGAGTTTTTTATTGATTGTAATTTATCGTGTTCCACATTCGTTGGAGAATCTGACTCGTGATTTCATATCATTTAAACTACTTTCAAGTGGCTATGGCTATTTTCCAGTTTCCCCCTTTCAAATACAATTTTGAAAAGCTTATTTTACCTTGTCATAATGCAATGAAATTCGGTGTGGTGAAAAAATCGACAAAAGTAAGCAGATTTGTTCTTCATACTTTACAGCGTAACATCAAGCATTTAGCCGTAATAACACGTAAAACAATCATAAAACTCGGTATTTTGAAAGGGGGAACTGGAAAAGAGCCGTGGTTATAAACATGCCTCAAGTACCTATTGAGCTATCTACACCCGAGTGGAAATGGGGGCGTGGGCTCATTTGATCCGAAAATTGTTCATACGGCAGTTTGCATGAAAAAATGTCGCAAAAAAGTGTTTATTTGTTGATGATGACACCTTTTATTGATGTTTAGAACATCAAACGTTATTTTAAATAAATTGGCTTTCATAAATTGAATTACACAGCATATCATAAGGGGGGGGGGGGGGTACTAGAAAAGAGCCCCAAGAACGAATCTCTAAGCCTACACAACTCACCACTCTTTTCCACCTGCAACCGTGTCTTGATCAATGTCGTCGGGTATATCAATGTCCGTATAATGAAAGAATTGCCCAAGGACAGCATGGCGAAGTTACGCATGTTCATGTGTTCGAACCCTATCGGAGTGTATCCCTCCATTTTAAGTTCGGATCCGACACTCGGATTTGTTCCGATCAAGTCTGAAGCTGTCGTCATCTCGGGAATCGAACACGCCGACTCATCGAGACGAACTGGCTGCATCTCTACGACAACAATTATTCCGTAAAAATTAATAGAAAAAATATTCTGTGAAAACTATTGGAAAAATTATTCCGTGAAAATTTTGGAAAAATTATTGCGTCAAAATAATTGGAAAAAATATTCCGTCAAAATTATTGGAAAAACAATCAAAAAACAAAAACAATTGGATGATATTTACTTGATTGCAACAAAGTTTGTTTCGTATTGTGCAGTGGTGAATATTTCCCAACTGTTCTATCATTATGTTCTAGGTTTCCTCTCCGACTGCTGATACTGCTATCTGATATTTCATTTGATGATGCTTTTCTTTCTGTCTTTGAGACTGATGGTACCACTGTTGCTGAGTCTAATTTTGTGGCAACGGTTTCACTCGACGGATTCGATCTTTCATTGCTCATCTGAAAAACTAATGTCACTAGTATCATAATTTAACAGCCAACTAAATCTCTTTATTGAAGCGTTAATATCCCGACTCCTAGAAAAAAAAAAGAAATATGGCAGAATTTTTTCCTTTTCAAAAAAGCAACTATCAATGATGTCTGGAAACAATGACAAAACTGTTTTTCTTCAAAGGAATACTTGTGATCAGCGTTTTTGTTCAGACTTTGGAAGAATGTGACGGATTATTTAGACTTGAGTTTCGAATTTCTCATTTTAAAAGGTAATTCACAGGAAGGACCCTTCCGGCTAAGATAGACTTGTATACAAGCTGAAAAAGGCCATTTGACTAGTATTTCACCAGTACATCAAAAAACTTACATTTAAAATGAAGTCAAATACCAGCACTGAAAGCGTCGCTACTTTTGCAATTTGATTAACCATCCCTCTCTGCTATACAATTATCTGCACTCCATCACGCATAAAATTGCGTTCATGAATAAAACATTTTGACAGTAATTTTAAATCCGACTAAAAGATACTGATGAACTGAGATTAAAATTGAATAAACATTTCACCTGTTGAGATTTTTCATGACGCTAAATACATAACTTGGTCCCAATTTCAGTGCGTCGGGGAAAATTTCTCATAAAAAAAATTCGTTAGACAAGCGACTGCTCTGATCACACAAAGGCCTTAATGTTCTAACTGCCTTTTAATGACAAGATAAAAAAACTAGTGAGAAAATTGATTAAATGTTCCAAACAAGTTTTTCAAAAAAAAAATTCTTCTTTTTCATCTTATTTTTCATTTATCCCTCGACCACCACGCGCTATTTTGAGTACGATTTGATTTATTCTGAGTCTGATTACTCACCACAATGACCAAACTACTTTCTTCAATTCAATTGGGGATAATTTAATTTAACTTTTAATTTCTCTGTCTACCGGAATATTATTTGTAACATAAATTTACTACTTTCTTCTAGTTTTCGTTAATTTGGTGGGAAATTTTTTGCTTCAACAGTGTTTCTGGGTTCTGAAGGACCCCTAAAACTATGCAAATCTGATGCAATTTGAAATGATAGAAAAAGTAAATGGTCTCAAAAAAATAAAGCGGTTTGGATCAAAATTTACTTAAAAGTAGATACATTGAACTTAAATTTTGATAAGAATAGTTGATAGATAAAAATCAAATATCCACAGTACAGCTCATCACGGTGAACCGCTGCTGTTCCCTTGTTTAAGAAGTACATGCAATTTTTCTAGGCTGGGTAAAGTTACATCACCCTCAAGGAACGAGCACGGATCATGGCACAAATATCTAAAGTACATCGACAAACAATTCACAAAATGAACTCAGTTTCCAGCGAAAAAAGGCAACTTTTTAGGAACTTTATAAAAATTTCGTGTTGTATTTTAGCTTTTTTCTCAAATTTTGTTGTGTTTCATGTCATTTGGGATTTACGTTTAAATCTTCACCTTGAAAGTTTATTTGAACTGCTTCAATATTTTAGCAACGCAAACAACGAATAACTTGGCAAATTTTCTAATTTCCCTAATTAATTTGAACTGGCATAAAAAATAGGGTGAATCGTTTTTGATTTCTTAATTGCAAAAATATTGATATTTATTTCCAAAAGTTTGGTGCAAACTTCGGTATATTTGGTATTTAATAAAATAAAGAAATTGAAAAAAGTTCAAGCGGATGGATTCTTTCTAAGAAGCAGTCGCCTTGTCAAGTTTTTCACTGTTTGTTTCTGGAATGAATTACAGGCGATAGTGGTCCATGATACGTGAGATCAAAATTATGAACTTTGTTATGATCAACCTTTTTCTTGAGAAGTTATGGGGTCTTGGAAAATGTCAATTTAGAATTTATGCGAGCTATTTACCACTTTTCTATTAGAGCGTAGCGCCAGTGGCAACAAAATCCGGGTCATTAATCACTCCAAATTGAATCCTCCAAACAAACTAACTGGACCAAAACAATTTGGAGAAAATGTGAAGAAAAAAAAACAGATGGCTCAACCTTCTAAGGCTAAGCGCCTACATTCTTAATCTTTTTAGCATTCTTGCTAACCATATTTTTTAATGCTTAGATTTTTTAAAAGGTAAAACTATTTAAGACTAAGGGCTTGTTTAGCAGACCTCATAACCAAAGTTATTTAAAATCTACCACAGAAAAAGGACCAAGAAAAAAACAGCGTTTTCAAAGATAAGTACAGTTGAATTATCCCACATTTGACATATCTGCTGAACCCACTCAGAATTTTTTGGAGAATCATTTGAAAAAAAAATTTTCCGAATCATTTATATGTTTTCGTATTAAAAATTTGCTTTTTATATTTGTATCAACTTATTCTCATAAATTATGGTGCTTATTATTCTTTATTATAAGCAAATCTGAACCAGATAATTCATTTTTTTAACGAAAAACAAAAATCAACTCGATCTATTTGTTTAAGTCAAACTGTTTTATATCATTAATCTTTGTCGTTGTGAAAAACTTCATTACAAATGTGTTTTTGTCGCATAGTTGAGAACCAATTATGCCGTCAAAATACTCGTATCCTGACACATTTCTTGCTAACAATCTGCTAATGAGCTGCCAAGAGGTTTTGGTACGAATCTTGTATTCATCAAAAGCGAAGCGCACTTAACTTTTGATGAGAACAAGACTTGACACAGCCAAGTGCTATGATGACTAGCAATTCACTTCACAATTTACACAGTGGGTTAAAAAATGACCGAACGAATCTTTTCGGATAAAAAAGACATGCTCAAGGTCATGATTCAAAAGCTCAGCTAAAAACTATTACATGCAAGTCTTGTAAAAAAAAACAGAAAAGGCTTGCTTAAGTTCAAAAAACATGCACTTTTGGGCCCTTCGGTTGGCTTTGAGTAAGCCACAGATTGATCTTGCAGTGAAGATCAGTTCCGTTTCAGTACTGCTTCAGCGTCGATTACAAAGATAAATCAGCCCTGCAACAAAACATTGCTCTGCAATCTTTATTCGACATTCATTAGATTCAGAAGGTAAACGTTAAAATTGGGCAGTAGTATGCAAAAATGACCCTGCAGAAAGTGCGTCAAAAATCTTGAAAAAATCAATTCGGCAATAACCAGTAATCTCCACGTTGAGCCTATACTACCTATTTTTCATCTTTCTTGCCAATTAATTATAAAAGTACATAATAGAGTTGTTGTTAGTTAAACACAGGGGATCTGTGCTTGCCTTAAACTATAGAGTCACCATATATTGCTCTTATCACGGCTAATAATATTCAACTTGGGGTTGAGAAATTAGACGATAAGCAAATTAGACGGAGGTACTTAAAAGGAAATTAGACGGTTTTGCAAAACTGCATTTGTGAGAAAATAGACGAAAGTGAGAGAAATTAAATTTGTTTGCACACAAATTGCGTTAGAAAAATAAAATTGTTTGTAGACAATAGTTCAATTTCGGTGGCCAAAAACTTTACAAGTCATTCATGCATAATTTATTCAATTCAAAACTCTCCTGTAATATTCAGATTTGACATTTATGTTCATTTAAACTAAATCTTTTGATAGTTTTTGTCATTTTATGCTCTTTTTGTATTTGTGAAACTTGACTCATAAGAAAACAATTTTTGGCACTTTCCTTTTCATAGCTTTTTCGTCTAAAATGCCAGATCCGTAAAAAATAAATTCCGTCTAATTTCGTTTTTGTAGTATCCGTCTAATTTGCTTATCGTCTAATTTCCTAGGCCCCATTCAACTTATATTTGCCTTCATTCAAAAATAACGACGATACTGAAGAACAAAAAGAGTGAGTCAACAAAAAATCAAAATCAAATCGAGTTCAATTTCAACTAAAATGATTGAAAGCAAGTTCAACTGCTTTCTGAAACATCATTTCCATGTTTACAATAACGACGTGTATAAATAGTTACAATATCCAGATTATCGAGGCTAGATTATCCTTAAATTGCCAATCTACCATTGAAAAATATCTTATTAACATCCTGTGATAATGCCTTCTAATATCCTACAAGGAAAACCCTCTACTTTTTTATTAACTAAATACTCTCCACTTTTTGAACTACTTTTTAGGCCTCATTTAATTATTTTGCTAATATCAGTTGTTCGGAGATCCCCCAATGCCGGATTTGAATTAGATTCTGATTTATTAAGGATTCACTGCAAATGAAGGCATTTGAAAGTTCACCATCTCCTCCGCCTACATATTTGTTGTTTATTTCATTAGGAAAAAAACAATTATTTTATTAACCATAAGTGGTTTTAAAAGTCTTTAAAGCAAAAACGACTCTTAAAAACAAATCGAACAAATTAATACAAAAAATAAGCCTCAATACGCTTCTAAAAATAGCAAAAAACAATCAAATAAACAGACCGAAAACGAAAACCTCAAACAAATTTGTTTGAGTTTTGTTGAATAATTTTTGGTACAAGAATGATAGTTGGGTTCTTTCAATTTAGATAGGTCCCTGAAGAAATTTTTTTGTGCTTAAAGTTTTTTGAAACAGGCGGTTGAGCAGTTGTTTCCTGTGTTTCAAATTTTCTCAAAAATTGCGGGACCCGTCTTTCATACTTGCTTTGTAAGAGTCCTGACTATCATACTTGTACCTAAATTTCTTTCTTTATTTTTGATGCAAATTATTTTATGTGAGAATAAAGAAGACAATTTGAGGATGTTTTGCTAATGGAGCAATAAACGGTTCGATTTTAGTGATGACGTTGACGCCACTAAGATGACGCACATTTTCCACTTTTATTCGCTGAATCTAATTCATTTCATTTAGATTCAGGGCCAAAAAACCTAATTCAAATTGGGAAGGGCATCTTTTAGTACAACTTGTTCAAATCGCTCATTTTCAGCCAATCAGAACTTTGCAAGAATCAGAATTATTACTTTGCAAGTTTTTTTCTACTTTATTTGCAAATTTATATCAAGGGAGGGAAAGCGATTTCACCCTAATTTGATTAGGCTGGGAACTAACTGTTCACATGGGTCCCGATT